ATCCCGATAATATTGTCAGTATCCATCCTGGTTGCAGCACTGCTCTGTGCTGTCAGCATATAGTGCGCAATAGTCCGCTATATGCTACGTTTTGGGTCACAGGAGGACATCGCAAATGTCCTCCTGTGACCCTAGAGGGAACTATGCTCAAAAAGGTTGGGCCATTTCTTTTAAAGGTAATGCATAGTTTTATTTTAATTTTTTTGGTTTGTTTTTTTATGTAAAATAGATCAACTTTATCTGAAAAACATAAAATGTATGTGTTAATTTTTTTTAAAACTTATTTTTTTCCCATAGATGTCCACAAGGTAAACCATATTTGTGCATTACATATGCAGGCTCTGCTTCCTGCTTTACAGTGTTTGTGTTGTACTGCTCCTTCTCACAATGCAAGCTTGTGAGTTGAGCGACTTATTGAAATCGGTCTACTGCATATATGGCTCATATGTTACCCAACAGTTCAGAAACAGAAATATTGCACAGTACCACTGAGAGTGCCCTCTAGTGACTAGCCTACCAATCACTAAATCTAATACATCAACTCAATATGAAAGAGTAATGTAACATTTACTATGTCCTCCTGTGACCCAAACTCCACATATAGTGGGCTACTGGCCGCTATATGCTGACAGTGCATAGCCACGCTGCAGCCATGGAAAATCCTGACAATATTGTCGGGATCCATCCCATTGCTTGATTGACAGCGGCTGTGTCTCTCTAGAGCCGATGCCAGCTGTACCCCTCCCTTTTCTATGTTCCTCCAGCGCCTATTAGTAGAACAGACGGGAGGGGGTGAGCACAGCTGGCATTGGTAAGGAAATCCCTGCAGTCATTGCTCTCTGCAGGGAGAAGCCGTGAGCTGAGCGATCAGTAGGTTGTGATTGCTCAGTTCTCAAGCTATAGAGCTGACATTTGACCGCTGCAGTGTCACACGCCGGCTCAAACTATTGAGAAGAGTATATTGTACTGAACATTGGAGAATTAACTCCGAATGCAGTCACTCAAAATGAAGCTACACTTAGCCTTTATTTGGCTTAGAGTTTTGTCAAAATGCCCTGAATTCTGTGTGATAAAGCTGCAGACTTTTGTAGAATTCAGACGCTTGCTTCACTGGGTAATATGTGGCAGATAATGGACCATTGAGAGTAAAATGAATGTGTGAAATAAAATGTATTTCTCCTCAACAGACACTAATTGTAGCATGGATCAGAGCCAACCTGAGCGTTTTCATATCCCGGGAGTTGTGGGATGAGCTGCTGACTGTCCTGTCTTCACTCACCGACTGGGAGGAACTTATATACGAGTGGTCTAAAATCATGGACTCTCTTACTGCTGTCCTCGCCAGAATGGTCTACGGGCTGGACATGGGCAATTTACCTCTGGATAAGCTCAGTGAGCAAAAGGAGAAGAAACAGAGGGGGAAAGGTATGTCTGTTAACATTACTCTATACTAATATGGTATAAATAAATAATCATAATGCAAATCCCATCATAGAGGCAAATGTATAGTAGAACTATGGTCCCCCAGTAAAATATATACTACAGCACCTAATTATAAGTGCGTTTGCACTCAGTTTTCTTAGTTTCTGTAGAGTTCTGCAAATACCCGTTGATCCTGCCAGTGGTATCCACCTAATGGAGCTTCCTGTTATGGTGTGGCAATGATGCTGCACTGTTCCTGAATTTAGGACAGAGTTTCCATATAGGTTGTGCCAGGCTTGCATTACAGTAAGAAGAAGATGCTAGGGGCATTGTTAGTAACATTGACGATTTAAGAGTCTGTAGCTTGTCAGCCAGTATCTTGCCACACCTAGAACACTGCTGCTTTCTGTACTGACAGCAATGCGTGTTGCTGAAACCTTCCCACTGTGAGCTGCAGTACCTGGAAGGGGCAGTGTGTGCGACAAAATTGGAGGTTTTGCCTCGGAGAAGGTAAAGTGAAAATTATGCTTTTGCATCTTATTGTAACTGGATTTGGACTGTAATTCCGGAGCCTTTAATTGTACTTTAAAGCTGAACACCAGGCAGATATAGAAGACACAAATTCATGCAGCTCTGTAATTATGTATACACCACTAAATGAGTTCATTTAAATGCAGGTACATATGGTGCAGCCCCAGTTCAGCAGAGTTCAGGCTGGGAGAGGGAGAAGCAGTACAAGGAGCCACCCTTTTGTGCTGCGGTGCTAACAAATAGCATGTTGATAGGAAGAGCGAAATAAATGTATATTTCTGCAAACTTAGGATAATGGACATTGATTAGACAGTGATCTAGCTATTAAAAGTGCATTTCAATATACACGTTTAGATCAGTAGAAGAAGTGATGGCCAAAATTACATACCTGTAGCTTTTACCAACAAATGAGGGAAATAAATATAAATACATATGTGTATGTATATGTATATATATATATATATATATATATATATATATATATACCGTATATACTCGAGTATAAGCCGTCCCGAATATAAGCCG